AATGAAATAAAAGTTGCAAACTGGATGGTGGGTTTAGGGATCGGTCTTTTGTAGTCCAGTTCTTGCTTTTGAGGCAAATGAATAAATAAATACATAAATAAATTAAAAAATGTAATTAAATAAATAATAAATAAATAAATAATAATAATAAATAAATAAATAATAAATTACATTAAATTTACAACTAATTTAATGCCCAACTGCTTGACCAAATGCACCCACTAGTCTGAGAGCATCAGATATGAGGCCGCATGTCAAAATTGGAGGAAATATTGCCATGACTTGTCCCAACCTTTCTAGTTTTTCGTCCATATTTTATATTATTAATTCAAATAATGGAAGGTTTAAGCACCACCAAGTGTCCTCTCCTCCACGTTTTATAAAAGCCGCCATTTTTATGGTCTGAACCTTCAAATTGCCCCACTTCACCAAGGGCAAGTAACAGGTGTGGTTTTCTAACTTGCATAAGCTAGGCCAATGGATTTTGGTCGATTGGTATGTATAGGGCAGGGGTGGGCACATTGTAGTTCTGCAGGGCAGGGCCGGAGCTGCCCGCTCTTGGTATAGGGTGTGCATGCTCTATGTAAGGTCTTGTGCAATATTGCATCTGACTGCATTGAAGTGCCTCTGAAAATACTTGTAGTGGCCGATGTATCAACCCGCATCCAGCATACAGCTGAGCGAATGCCGTTGGCGCTGTATTACCACCACTAGATGGTGCTGAGGAGCATAGGAAATCCCTATGGCACCATCTAGGGGCAGTAATGCCATGTGCGCGCCGTTCTCCCAGCTTTTTTACATCGGCCCCCAAAGTCCTTTGGCAGTTTTAGTACACAAGAAATATCAGATGCATTTCTAAAGCATTGCCTGGCCCTTCATTACATATAAAGCATCTGAATGCATAGCTGACATGACTACACGTGATAGAACTCTCTGGAAACACATCGTAAACATGTTCCAAAAGCATTCTCCACGGAATCTGCGTATTTTACAATAATTAGCATAATTTGAAAAATAAAAAGCCCAGTGAAGTATATCTACTTCAGCAGAGGAAGGCTGACCTCCAATGGGGTGAAGACCTGCAATCATAAGGTTTCCTAGACAGCCGTTAGTGGACCTCCAGTCATCTGTACGATGTAACAAAGAGGAGGTCAGCAGGGCCGGACTTACTCTCTCTGCTGCCCCAAGGCCAGGTTCCTTACTGCGCCCACCTACCCGCCAATCTTCCCCACCACCCAATGGAGAATGGCAGACCTGCAGGCTGCATACAAGTGATCTCGGCGACATCACCGAGATCACTTGTACAAAACAAGCGGCGGCTTCCCCCGCTGTACATTTAGCTTTACTTGCCCAAAGCCGGGCTAAATGTAGAAAACAACTACACGCCCGGAACTGCATGTCCCGGGCATCGGGAGATAGGTATTCAACACCCCTGCTGCCCCACTACTCCCTGCTGCCCCTCTACTCCCTGCTGCCCCTCTACTCCCTGCTGCCCCAAGGCCGGGCCTTGGTTGGCCTTGTGGGAAATCCGGCCCTAGATGTCAGTGCAGATCTGCACGTCAGTGGAACCTCAATGCAATGCTCTTCTATGACGTCTGTCCAGGAAAATACACATCAGAGGTCAGCAGGATTTATTCTTTTTAACGGTTTCTTTGTTCAAGGTGAAGTTCTCATTCAAGGTTGATGACCCTGTTGTTGGCAGCTCTGTCTAAAGATTTTCCTTCTTCGGGACCTATGACTTTACCTCTGTCACTATTGATCAGCTGTGAAATTGGACTTCATAGCTGGCTTTGCACCTATGCATAACCACACACGTTGGGGCACATTTTCATGTACATTCGGTACGCATTGGTAACATGCACGGTACATTGATATTCACGGCATCCCTTTCATTCCTAAAGGGCCCCCAACACAAGTCAACACAGTAACGTACCAGACCCACCAACATACCACAATGCATAGATGTGAATATAGTGGTGTGCTGTGTTGGCCAAACATGGATCCGGTACATTTTGTGGTGCATTGGACCTCATTAAGGGCTCAAAAAGGATATCAATGGTCTGTTCTAATGCTACGTGCATCAATACACAGAAAAAGCTCCTCGACGTGCGGTAGAACAATGTGGTTGGACCCCAAAGCAGCAAAAGGATTGTAGAAAAGTGCTTCTAGTGCTGGTCAATCTGGTGCTGATCCGGGAAGGACTGGATTGTGGCAAAATTCAACTAATAGTTTACTGTAGTTAGAGACGAACTACTACACGCCCGGAACTGCATGTCCCGGGCATCGGGAGATAGGTATTCAACACCCCTGCTGCCCCACTACTCCCTGCTGCCCCTCTACTCCCTGCTGCCCCTCTACTCCCTGCTGCCCCAAGGCCGGGCCTTGGTTGGCCTTGTGGGAAATCCGGCCCTAGATGTCAGTGCAGATCTGCACGTCAGTGGAACCTCAATGCAATGCTCTTCTATGACGTCTGTCCAGGAAAATACACATCAGAGGTCAGCAGGATTTATTCTTTTTAACGGTTTCTTTGTTCAAGGTGAAGTTCTCATTCAAGGTTGATGACCCTGTTGTTGGCAGCTCTGTCTAAAGATTTTCCTTCTTCGGGACCTATGACTTTACCTCTGTCACTATTGATCAGCTGTGAAATTGGACTTCATAGCTGGCTTTGCACCTATGCATAACCACACACGTTGGGGCACATTTTCATGTACATTCGGTACGCATTGGTAACATGCACGGTACATTGATATTCACGGCATCCCTTTCATTCCTAAAGGGCCCCCAACACAAGTCAACACAGTAACGTACCAGACCCACCAACATACCACAATGCATAGATGTGAATATAGTGGTGTGCTGTGTTGGCCAAACATGGATCCGGTACATTTTGTGGTGCATTGGACCTCATTAAGGGCTCAAAAAGGATATCAATGGTCTGTTCTAATGCTACGTGCATCAATACACAGAAAAAGCTCCTCGACGTGCGGTAGAACAATGTGGTTGGACCCCAAAGCAGCAAAAGGATTGTAGAAAAGTGCTTCTAGTGCTGGTCAATCTGGTGCTGATCCGGGAAGGACTGGATTGTGGCAAAATTCAACTAATAGTTTACTGTAGTTAGAGACGAACAGAACCTTTGGAATGAATTTGATTTTACTTTTTACTTATCTGATACATTTCAGATAAAAACAATTTCTACTGCTACATACTACTACCAGTGTACTACTACTACTGGCCTAATGCTACAACGATTCAAATAGAAAATCATTATCATTATAAAAAGAACTCTCTACTACAGTTTTTTAAATGAATTTTCTTTCAATGATTAATTCAGAATTTTAGAAAAATAAAAGTTTCTGAAATGTATTTAATAATTTGAGGTGAAGGATTCTCTGTCATCTCTCACTACAGTAACGTTGTGCTTAGCAGTATACAGATTACATTGTAACTAAAAAAAATGTTCTACATGCAGGAGGAATCTCTATTCACCACCCAGTTTGTGTCCTTTCCCAGTTTATGTCACTTCTATTTTATGGGGTTTGTTTTGGTCACCATTATTTCCCGCTTTACATTTTTTTTCTTTGGCGGTCGCCTAAAACATAAGGATTCTACTACACCGTCCTGCCGCTAGTATTGAATATGTACGTATGCTTCAGAAATTCTAAAAACTAGATATAGATTGTGCTAAAAGTTTATACAAAACTTTTGTAGATCTCATTAGTATTGCAGTCAACACATCCACAACGGAGTTTCCTATTAGACACTAGCAGTGTTATATGTTAAACATTGTAGCCCCCAAAAGATACATTGCCCTGTGCCCCTATGAATGATATTTCCAACAACCTTCTCTAAATCTGTCTTCCTTTCATTTGCAGCCATGTAAATGCAGTTTGATGGGTCACCTGCTAAGTGTTGAATATATTTATCTATAGCAGGGGTGCCCATTAGGTAGATGGTGATCTAGCAGTAGCTCTCAAAGCTGATGCTGGTAGATCAGGAAGGGGGGGGGGGTGGCGGCCCCTCGCTGTGCACACATGATTACCTATTAGCCCGAGTCTGCTGAGCCGAGCTCCCCGACACCTTTCTGGTGGTTGAAGTGCAATGTATTACATCAAAGAATACTAGTTTACACAGCCTGTTGCACTACACTGTTTACAAAATACAGCAAATTGAGCGGGGAGAGACAGACAGGATAGAGAGCAAGGAGAGACAGACAGGATAGAGAGCAAGGAGAGACAGCCAGGAAAGAGAGCAAGGAGAGACATCCAGTAAAGAGAGCAAGGAGAGACAGCCAGGAAAGAGAGAGAGGAGAGACAGCCAGGAAAGAGAGAGAGGAGAGACAGACAGGAGGGGAGAGAGAGCGAGGAGAGAGAGCCAGGAGGATGAGCAAGGAGAGAGAGCAAGGAGAGACAGCCAGGGGAGAGAGAGCGAGGAGAGACAGCCAGGGGAGCGAGGAGAGACAGCCAGGAGAGAGAGAGCGAGAGAGGTTTTTTTTCATTGTTAGATCTCATGTTGCTCGTCATTTGAAAAGTAGATCTTAACACTAAAAATTGTGGGCACCCCTGATCTATAGGGAAGGGAAGGTGCCACCAAATATGACACGGCTCTGCCTACATCCAAGAATCTCAGCTGCATTGTATGAAAAATATTCACATTTCTGTACAAAGG